AAATTACTGACCTCTGTCATCATTTTAAGTGGGGGAACTTGCACAATCGGTGGCTGACTAAATACTTTTTTGCCCCACTGTATATATCTGCTTAAGTGTTTGACCAGTAAGCATCCTGCAGGGGGTCTGGTAGTGGGGGCTGTGATGTCCTACAGGGCGACAGGTCTGTAGTCATTTAACTCACAGAGGGTTAACAGAGGGTTTTTTTTTTTTTTAGACCGGGATGATTGTGGAGTGCTTGAAGCAGGAGGGGACTTCACACAGGTCCAGGGATCTGCTGAAGATCTGTGTGATGATGGGAGCCAGCTGGTCAGCTCAGACTTTGGGGCAGGAGGGTGACTCACTGTCTGTTACCTGTGTTTTGTCTGCTGAAGAGTTACCTCACATCTTCTTTACATGTATAAAGTGTAGATGGTGAGTCAGTAAGGAGGGGTGGGTGGTGGTGTGAAGATGTGATTGTTAAACCTGCAGGAAAACATTCAGGTCTTTGACCAGTTGATTGTTCTCCCTGGTGTGGGGGGATGGTCTCCTGTGGTTGGTGATATCCTGCAGTCCTCTCCACATTGATGCAGGGTCGTTACCTGAAAACTTGGCACAGATGGAAGATGTTACAGCACCGGTGAGATCATCAGGTCTGTAGCTGTGGCCTCAAAAACACTCCAGTCAGTGCTGTCAAAGCAAGCCTGCAGTTCCAGTTTTGCCTCTTTACTGTGTAGCATTGCTAAACATCAGGATAAATATAACCATATAAATAATAATAACAATGCTTTAACTATGTAAACTGATAGTAACACATAATTCATGTGTAAGCAGTGATGTGTTGAACCAGCTCCACAGTAATATCATTATCAGGATTGTTGAATGAATTTACATTAGTTGTTAAAGGAAAAGATTAAATATATGAAAAATAGAAAAACTGGAAATTCTGTTTATGTGACACTTTTAAAAGCATAAAGAAAATAAAGAGAGTACAAAATAAGCACATAAAGTGTACGTGTCCTCTTTAGAAACATGAAAGTGATCTTTTTGTCAGAACACACATTAACAAACTGTAGACCCACCAGATGAGACCCTGGAACTCCAATGATGCTGATGGATGTGGCCCTCTGACCTCACATACTAATTTTAACCTGTTCATGAAGACACAGAGGTGTGGTTATTTTTCACCACTGTTGTAGATGAAAGCTTTTTAAATATTTATCATATTTTCTTGGTTAGAAAAGACCAGAGAATGACATAAAACACATGAGTTCAAAATATGCTGCTGGAGGTCAAAGGTCAAAGAGTCCTTAAGTCTCATGGGTGATAAATTTTAACAAGTCCTGGTTTTAAATTTGGAGTTTCATTATTATTATTTTGTGTCTGAGTCACTTTTTATGGAGGCTTCTGTCCAAAGTGAAATGTCTGAGGGCTGAAGCTCTTCTTCACTGCTTTTAGTCGGCATTAAACAAAAGTGCATCAGAGTCAACATCTGGTAAGAAATGAGACGCA